AATTTTTGTATAGCACCTTAAGACCCTTCCATCTATGAAGAGTATTTGATTCTACCATATCTGGGTCTTGAGAAGAAGATTTTTGAAATTTTAGTCAATTTGACCCTTTTTGGCCCCGCCCCTCAGGCCCCTGGGGGCTTAGGACTAAACCGGCAACCATTTTTGTTGACCTTTGTCCATGGAAGGTCCCTGCAAAATTTTGTTGAAATTGGTTCAGGGGTTTTGGAGAAGAAGTCGAAAATGTAAATTGTTTACGGACGCACGACGGACGACGGACGACGACGGACAAAAGGCGATCGCAATAGGTCACTTGAGACTTTGTCTCAGGTGACCTAAAAAGTTTATCAGAAATCCTTTTTTTTAAATCATCAAACAAAAAATACCATATTTTGCCTTTTTTCAACGTCACCACGTCCTTTTTCTATGCAGAGCTTAATTGATCAATAAATAATACCCTATTTCATGATAATCTAACCCTAGACGTCATTGATATTGGCCACTGGAGCGGTGAAGTTGACACCCCTTCCTTTCTTTTCTAAATCTATTCAATGTTCTCGTGTTAAGATTTTTAATATTCTCTGTTTCAATATAGACATCGATCATAGCGAGAAAACAAAAATTAAAGTATATATAAACAAACCTATTTATTTTATACGAAAATTTCTACAAGGGCTAACAATACTCCGTTGCGAGACGAAGTTCTTATAATTTGCAGCTGTTATTCTCAGCTAAACTTCAGTAATTGCAATATTGAACTTGTTTACCCATTGTCGGTATAATGTGACCGAGAGGAATGCTGTGCTGGGGGTCTTCGGCGTGGTACTGTATTTAAGTGGAGTATAGCTAGCACTCGAAGTCGACATAACAATACACAATACTAATGCTGCCTCCAGCACAAATGCATACATAACACACATATTGGTGCGCGTCATCAGAGACGTATAATACATTGTATTATAATGTATTATACGTCTCTGGCGTCATTAAATCTTTTAATACCTTTGTGGGTAGTTTTGCACACATATGCGTATAGGGACATATGTATCACATGACGGTTTCAACATATAGAACGGTAAACCCAATTATCCAAACCTTATATATAAGTTAGTAAAACAACGGACTTAGATATCTAATCTAATTCCGTGGTAAAACGAAGTTGATAAATAAATTACCGGTGTATGTATAATGTAAGCATGATACATGACACCGCCTTGTGGTACATATATAGGCTACCTACACATATTTGTGAATGTATTGGTGGCACCTGTACGTAAATAAGACTAATGAAATTCACAGACATGTAACAACAGTGTACAAGGGGTTATACAGATCGATTCTCTGATATCAGCTGTTATACCATACAGTACTATAAATAGAAATCGTGTTTACCAGTAACGGATCCAGCGACAATTCTGGGGGAGGGGTTAAACATTTCTTGATGGGTTTCCAAAGAGAGATAATTTAACATGGCTTTGAAAGAAAATAATCCCAGGCTTGGGGATCTTTAGTACCAAAAATCCCCTTTTGATCTGCCACTGTGTACATATATCGTAGGGCGCGCGTCATACAAGATACTGGTAGCACATATGTATACCTATAAGATGTCACGGTCGCGGGCCATTGATTGCCCTTGTACTTACACATAGCAGCACTCATGCTGGAGATACCGGCCAGGGCAAACCGCCATACTTGTTCGTTCTCTATCTTCGCCATCGTCAGGTCAAGCTACCAGTAACCTTCCTACACAAACAGCATGGTCATTCACGGGTCATGTACGCCCTCACACGGATACTCGACCTGTAGAAGAACTTTACCTACAGCATATAAGACATGTATTTAGGTCGTGTGTACCCATGCGTACTCCTTTCAGCGTGTCGTCTATTTATAGATACGCGGCAGACATGTCGATACATTAGCCAGCGTCGTAAAGCATGTCACGCGTCACAGGTGTTGAGACGATTAACAGTGATGACGCCGTTGGATTTGGGATATTTTGAACGGTTGGAGGTTGATTTCATCTTTGACATTTAATTGTTTTAAAGAAATTGTTACTGTATATTCCACGAATTTGAATATCATATTGATATTATATTAATTAATATGGTACTCCAGCTACAGTATATTACTCAAATGTGTACTTGCAACCAGTCTGCTGAAACTACCGAACACTTCCTCCTCTTCTGTCCGAAATATCAACAGTACAATGCTACCGAAGTCTTCCTCCCGACTATTATGTAAATCTTCTTATGTACGGAAATCCTGATATGCCAGTTAAATTTCACGTATTTACATGTGGTACGTAACGGTACGGCCCTGTATGTCACGACACGCCAGTATGGAGAGAGAGAGAGAGAGAGAGAGAGAGAGAGAGAGAGAGAGAAAATAAGATTAACGACCGACAAAAAAACTAGCTGCTTTCATTCAAAAGAACAACTTCGTGACGTCGCAATTACATGTCATCACACTACAATAGTAACGTGACGTCACGAAGTGCACAAGATTGGTGGACAATTTAGCGTAAAATTTTACTGTGGCCTGTTGAGACTTGGTTTTAATATTTTGATTAATTGGTCGTCTTTCTTTTCTCTTAAAATAGTGTCTGATGAAAATAGTTGATGCATGAATATGTTTGTTAACATATAGATTTCGTAAAGATTCAGTTCTAGTGTGTTGTCTATGTACGCTCATGCGTGTTCTGAGTTCATTACCAGTTTGACCGATGTAAAAATCACCACATTTAGAACAAACTATTGCATAAGTTACATTTTTTTTTATTTACGATTCATATTTAACTTCACAGAAAATTTCAAACCATTCTTGAAAATAAAAGTACTACATTCGATAATCATAGGACATTTGGATACTTCTGGTGTTACACAAGAATGATCAAACGTATAACATGTCAACATACGTTTCAAGTTCTTAGGTTGGCGTCTACAATGTAAAATAGCATGTTTATTAAAAATGTTTCTCATACGCCTGCTACTTTGCTTTAACTCTTCACATTTGTTCTTTATCACAGGAAACATATTAAAATTCCGTGGATTGAAAGTAGAAACAAAAGGAACTAACTTTGATTCATCCTTTAGTGTTTGTAGACAGGAAGTAAAGTGTCCCTTTCCAATAGCTTTCTATATGTCATGTTCTATTATCTCAGTAGGATAACATTGAGCTTTAAGGTATTGCTTTAGTTGACTGAGTCTAGCAATATGAGCGTCTTTGGTCACTGACGATAGTGACAATCCGTGAGGCAAGATTAAAAGGAATATTAACTTTAGTATGATAACTGTGGTTAGATTAAAAAAATAGATAAGTATGTGCATCTGTAGCCTTACAATATAAATCCGTTGTAATCTTATTTGAATCTAGTTGAACTAAAACATCTAAGAAAGGTAAAGACGTTTCGCTACACTCCATCGTATAACAAATAGAAGGATGTAAAGAATTAAATAGGTTTTGATATTCATTTAAATCCTTATCAGAAGGCCATATAATAAAACAATCGTCAAGGAACCTGAAACAAATATTTCTGATAAATTCAGTAAAGTTTTCCCCCAAACTTTGTTTCAATCTTAGAATAAAGTGTTTCCTCTAAGTATCCTAAAACTAAGGTTGCATATGTAGGGGCAACTTTAGTTCCCATCGCTGTACCCTTAATCTGTCGAAAATGTTCTTGGTCAAAATAAAAAGAATTACGATTGAGAACAATGTCTAGAGCTTGAAGTATACATTCATTACTAAAACGGGAATTAACTTTTCTCGTTTTTTGTTCAGCCAATATTTAATAGCTTCAATACCAAGATCATATAGTATATTAGTGTATAAACTAACAACACATCAAAAGAAACAAGTTTAGCATTATGTGGGACCTGTTTAGATATACGACTCAGAAAATCAAAATCGACTTTGATATAACTGTTTACACTTGTGCATACACTTGTGCATAAAGGTTTAAGAATGGGGTCTTCAAGATGACTCAAAGGTTGCGTTGCACTATTAGGGCCGCCTAGCTACTATGGGTCTAAACTTCAAATCCGTAGGATTTTCAACTTCAATATATGTACAGTTTTGTTCTTCTATAGCTTTACTTATAATAAAGCTTTTGTGGATTTTAGGCAAACCATAGAAATAACTAGTTTTATGCATAAAATTGACAAGATAATCTATCTCCTTTTCATGTAGGCACGCTTCATGTGTCCGTGTTAGCTCGTTGATTAATCTACGGGTTTCCGCATCGAAATCGTCACTTGCCGAAGTATAAAATTCAACATTACTAAGCATGTTATGTATGCATTCACAACAGAAATTTCTATTAATGACCACTACTGCATTGCCTTTTTCGGCCTCTTTGATAATAATAAACGTATCATTTCTTAAAGAATCCAAAGCACATATTTGTCTGTAAGACAGATTACTTTTTACGTGTTTATGATTATCATTATGTAAAGAAATCTTTTAAAACTATTAATGACGTCTTCTAAATGTTTGTCCGAACTTCTTGGTGGGTTCCATTGCGAATTGTTATGGACTAACGCCGTTGTTTCCAATGGTGTGCTTTCACCGTCTTCGTCACAAAACTTATCGCATAGACGAAGTCTTCTGCAGAATTTTAGAATGTTCTTCATATATATATGTGAGTCTGAAGATTCACCACTGGATGTCGGAATACTCAGGGGTCGGCATGGAAAGTTTTCATTATATGCAATTAAATCATGATGTGCTGAATACCTCAGTGACATGTACAGTCCTCGATATGTGTCCATATCCAAAATATTCTCCAACCAGTTTTTCCTCCAATAATGCAGTAAATGTACTTCCCTATATATTTTACCCCCAGCAACACTTTCTTTAAAACCCTTTTACACCTCTTTCCCTTCTTCCTCCCCCAATCCTCTTCTCTTCCATATACTTATATCTATATGTATAATATTCGTCAGTGCCGTCCAATCGCCGTTTTACAAAAAAAGGAGACGGATTTGCATAAGTACTATGTACTTGTTTTCGAATCCTATATGTATATCATGTTTGTATGACTGGAATATTATACCTATAATAAAATAAAGTTGAAACTATATTACTCAAAGGTAGGATCAACGCCTTATGGAGATTTAACATTAGCGTCGGCCCCCGCTTCGATTTTTAAAACAAGATAAATACAAAAAGGTATGGGTATAGAAAGCTTAAATCCGGCCGTTAGTTTTAGAATTCATTTTATGACAAATGGGAACTCATTGAGTCCGGTAATACGATTCCTACTAGAACATTATATCATCATCATGTGCAACATATTCCAACTATTATTTTGATAATACTTTATTGAAGATTTAAGCAGAAAAGTATGTTAAATTTCATAACTAATTAGAAATTTTCCTTTTTGGGCACGTTAATTTGCATATTCGATATCAGAGCGAAAGTGAGCGTAATCCCTTTATATTGAGAATGAGTTCTAAAACGAGTCTATTGTTCATAATTGCTTAAAAGTTGCCTACCAATTATATCTTTCAAATCATTCATTTTACCAGTTTTAGAATATGCTTGTGAATTATGAGATGGTTGTGCTAAATTTGAGTCAGAAAAGTAAGAGATAGCCCAAAGAGAAGCTACTCGTATTATATCCGGCCTTCCTTCATATGCCCGTATCGAAGATTCACATTTTGAAACAGATTGAAAAACTCTTTCAAATCGTCGGAAACGTAGATAACTTCAACGTTTATATAAAATGCACCACAAGTTAACTCCAGATTTTTTAAACAATCTCCTGCCACCTACTATTGCAGAAGAAAATAACAGGTATATACACTCTTAGAAATAACAGCGATTATTTGGGCTTTCTCTTACAAATCTTTCCTTTGTACCTTCCACTCTTCGTAGCTGGAACTCGATAGATCTATCAGTACGATCGTTGCTTTCTATACATGTGTACAGCCATCCCCTCCTATCTTCTTTAGTTTTGGAAAACGTAAATTGAATAGTATACATACTTAACTGAGTCACAAGTGTGGTTCCCTTAAGTATGGCCTTAACAGAGGTAATCTTGCCGAAAGTCTATATTGCAACTGTGGGCATCCATATGAGAATACATTTCACATTTCTTTGAATATCATCTTTTAAGCAAGGAAAGGCGTATTTTGTTTCAAAATTTGAATGCCTTAGGTATAGACTTAAATTTAGAGCTTCTTTTGTTTGCCAGTTCAGATCTTTCGGAGGACCTTATTTCTTACGTTTTTAGACATGTGCATCACTTCATCAAATTCAGCAATAGATTTTTAACGGTGTTTTTTAAGCTAGTAAAGTAAAGTAATATCTTTCAACATCAGGTATTCCCAAAATCATTACAGCCGGTAAATTTGTCAAACAATACCTTTGATTTAAAAAAAAGTAAAAGCATAGCTTTATTTTCAGTTTTCCTTTGGCAAGTAGGTTGTTCAACGTTTTGTAAACGTTAGTGACATCGACCTTCGTTCAAGGTCACAAGAATCACCTGTGCGGGGGAAAAAAATATGTATGGAGAGTCAAACAAGGATATATTTTCTTGCTTTAATTGTTTAGATTCAAAGATATAGAATAATGTAATTATTCCTTCATATTTTGTTTTATGAATGAGCAAAAGACAAAATGAAATAATAATAAAGTATATATTAGTTTTATTATTAAGATTATTTTATTGCTTACAGTTATCTGCATATCTTTGTCTTTTACACAATCTCAGCGTTAAGTAGTTCTGGAGAGTTTTTACTGCTATTTATAAAGTTATAACTTTAAAATATGCGTAAATAATGAAGAGTTTTGGTATTATACTAAAACAGAAAATATATGGGTATTTACCATAATAAACATCGATAAATAAATCTTCATGATTATATGATAGCGTGCATTGGTCATGTTTGGCATGCTAAAAAAGTACGGTTTTGACATTACATAAAAATGATTCTGTAGAAGAATATGCATATGGAAAGTTTTTTCTAGAAGTATTAAATATACATTATCATTGTAACTATACAAAAGCAAGTTGACAATGTTCAATTTTATTTTAAATTTTGTGACAATTTTGCATGTTTTTCTAATTAAAAGTATCACTACGCTTACTTCATGTATATCAATAAGACATAATTGTTAAGTATCAAAATAACAGATATTTTGATCACTATACACTATCAAAACTTATTTTCAAAATTACATTCGCCTGTGACATTTATCTGTTATTTTGTTAGGACAACCCCGTCACTCAACCTGGTGTTAGGCAAGGAGGTCCACTACGGTTATCAGTTGTAATTATGAATGATCAGATATGCAGTTATTGTTCATTTTTATGTATCTGCATATGGCGAAAAAATAAAAGAAATTAA